CTCAAACTAGGACTGTATCATAAGGAGCAATTGCCATCAACTAAAGAAGGATATCCTTGAAAGATGGACCAGTCTTTGGGGGCTTCGAACAAGAGTGTCTGGGCTCCTGTTTCATTTATTGTGGCAAGATAGGCATTCAGTCATGCAGTGACCCTGCTCCCATGTCCCCGGTTAGGTTTCATTTCTAGTCATGGTTCTTTTTTATTGCTCTTATTCTGAATATCTTTTTTTTTTTTTTGAGTTGGAGTCCTACTCTGTCACCAAGGCTGGCACACCACTGCAGCCTTGACCTGCTGGGCTCAGGTGATCCTTCCGCCTCAGCCTTCCAAGTAGCTGAAACCACAGGCAAGCACCACAATGCCCAGCTATTTAAAAAAAAAATTTATTGTAAACACTAGGTCTTGCCAAGTTTCCCGGGCTGGTCTCGAACCCCTCGACTCAGAAGCCAAACAATGGCAGCAAGTATTTAGATGAGGGAGCCCTTCTCTAGCACAGTTTAAAGTCACTGGATTTGCAGGTGGGGAGATAGAGGATACACAGGGAGGAGGAAGGACACGTACCACCCCCACTGCTTGGAGCTGTGTAGACTTGAGCAGTGGAACGTCCACTCACAGGAGGCAGGATGCTAAAGAGGACTGGAAGTGGCAGGCAGCATGGTACTGTTTGCTAGGCACCTACTGTTTGCCAGGCTTTGTCTCGTTCATCTTCGTGACCCCAGTTGCGAGCACACTGGGGTCAGATAGTGTTCAGATCTCCCTTGGACCTCAGGCCCCTGCGTCCTTCTCAGTGGACACATAGGCTCACCTCAAGGATCATAACTTGTTTTCTTTGAAATTTTGGAAGCCGTAAATCGAGTGACTTCAGGTACTTTTCCAGTTTTGTTCTGTGTCATTTGAGGACCAGCCAGGTGAGTGAGGAGCAATGCCAGCCCTGCTCCTGGCTTTCGTGCATGGCTGGACCCAGCCGTGCTGCCTGGGGAAGAGGTTGTTTGGATGCCCAGAAGGTGAGAGACCTGGGACTTCAAGTTGCCAAGGCCTGCCTTTGAGGAGATTGGACATGCCCAGGATGGGGTGGCTATCGACTGCTTCTGCCTTTAGACTCTTGTGGGTTGTTGTGGGTTTTTGGTTGTTTGGTTGTTTGATTTTTTTTGGGGGGGGGGTTGCCTGCTAAGGCAGCAGAACTTTCCAGAATCGTTCCCCAGGTTTTGTCACATAAGAAAAAGCTGGGCCATTTAGCCTCTTGGTGACTCAGTGTCCACTTGGTGCTGAGGGTGTTATCTAATACTGGGGATACAAGAGGGTTAGTGAAACAAAGCAGAACCCTTGCCTACAGGGAGCCTAAGTTCTACGTGGAGACAGGCAATACATGATGAAGGGTAAACGCACAGGCTGTCTTTATGTAGGCACTGCTATGGCTAAAACTCAGCAGGAAAGGATGCTTGGGGCAGCCCCCACCAGGGAGGGGAAGGAGCGAGTCAAGATGGGAGCTCTGGGGCCGAGCACGGCAGGGCAGGTGCACACCTGCTGTGGTCTGGGAGCAGCAGGGCTGACAGTGAGGAGATGAGTCCACGAAGAGGACACTGGGCCTTGTCCACTGTGGAAAGGGCTCTTAACAGTAATCAGGGTGGGTTGCCCTTATTAGGAGCCTGTGAGCTGGGTATGTTACATATATTTTCTATAGTTCTTCATAACTTCTTCTTATGAATGAAGAACCAGAGGCTTGAACATTCTGAATGTCATGACCGGGCACACACTCAAAGTGTGGGGATGGGAATCCTACCTTCAAGGATAAAGGGAAATGCAGGAGTCTTGTTTGTCCAACTGCAGTTCAAGCACTTCCTCTTGCAAAGCGGTAGTCTTTCACCAGAATACAAGACAGGAACGGTGAGTTCTGGAGACCCCTCTCCCTCTCTCCACTTGAGGCCAACTCCCCTGTCCTCTCACCCAAGATCAGAGCCATATGGGTGCAGGCAGGTGGGTGTCTGTAGAGTTCCTGGGACAACCTCCCCAGAGCTCTGCGCCTTTTGGAAGACGTGTGCTTCTGCAAAGTAATTCAGGAGCGTGACCAGTTCTGCCTTGGGATTCATTCACTCGATTGGTTTTATGTTTTTTTGTTTCCTGTAGGTTTAAATTTTGTTTGGCTTTTTCTGATGTAGAAGGCATAGAAGGAAGTTCAGGAAGAGTCCAAGCTGATCTTTGCTGCTGGATGAGACTGGATGGGCCCCCTCTGTCCCGTGGCCTGCTCCCCTGTGGGAAGATGGCTGTCCATCCCTTCTGGGGTGCCAGGATTCAATGACACCCTGCCTTGAAGGCTGAGAACTGGGCCTTGCGTAGATAAAATGCTTAGTTCATGATCATGGAAATGGTGCTGTTTTTAATGTATCTATTAGTATTTTAAGATTTCTACTGCGAATAAAAACATTTAAAAATAGGATTGTTCACAGCTCCCCAACCAAGGGAGTATCTTCTTCTTTAGCAATTTATGCAGGCTCTTTTTTATATACTGTTTCTAGCGGGGTGGGGGGCATTTGAAGGATCTATCTCAGACTGATTAATAAGCACATCTGGGCAGCATTTCATTTGCATTAGAATAATTTTTTTACAGTAATTGTACCAGTTCATTTTAATTCATATTTAGGGAGAAGGACATGAAGTCATAAATGTACAGTCTTAGCAGCATGTTATCTGTTTTTATAATGAGTGGGCTCATGCTGCCATGGGTGTGAGACTAGACTGATGGCCATGTGGTGCCCCCTCTGTTGTGGTTGGGGGGGGTCTCTGTCATTCTTACCGAGCAGAAGCCATTTATCAGCGCTTTCTCCTTTTTTCCTCATATTCTGAATAGTAGAAGGGATGATTTACCAGGGCTTATATTACTTTCATTTTCCTGGCAACAGAGAATCTAAACAGAGGCCAAATTAAACAGATATGTACTCAGGGCCTGTAAAGACACTCACCTGTGTGCTATGCCATTTAATTCTCAGGTCAACCTTTACATGGAATGATCTGCCCACACCCCCGTTTTATAGCTGGGAAGTTGAAGGTCAAGGTGGATGCACCGGCTGGTAGAACCCCAAGAGTGGGGGTGGGGTAGAGTCAGGATTTGAACCCATGTCCTTCCGAGAGAGCTTTCTCCCGGGGCCATTTTCCCGCACAAGCCTTAGTGCTTCGACGAATGGATGATGTTCTACGTGTTCATAATTGTAGAGTGACACTTGCACATGACTTATAACATAGAGCAGTGTCCCAGGCATCCCTTGGTTTCATTTGTACAGAGCTGAGTGCAGTAGGTGTTTCAGTCCCTGCCTGTTCTGAAGCTTGACCCAGGGTCACTCACTAATCCCAGAGCGATGTGAATTCAATGTCACCTCCCCGTGGGTGGGGCCACTGGCAGAGCCTTCATGTGTGTGCCCTCTGAGCAGGTATGCGGTGGACTGGCAGGAGCACACAGGCTTCAGGACTAGCATGCCTGAGTCCTCAGCCCACTTCTGCTTCCTAGCGGCTGCCTAAACTTGAACAAGTTACTTATTCTCTTTGAGCTTGAGTTCATTATAGATAAACAAGGAATAACAACATCAGATTCAGTAGTTAGGTCATCCTGTGAAAGTTAGAGAAAATGTGCTGTGTGCCTGCCCTGTAAGTAAGAGCTGCTTAGTAAACAGCAGCTTTTCCTGATACTGCTACCCAAAATCATGGTCAAAGCCAGCGTATCTCATGTCAGCAGTTGCTCTACTTTAAGATAAGGGTCAGGGCCATTTCAGACCATCTGGCCTGCATCCTGGTGTTCATAGCCCCCCATCCCTGCTTCTCTGCATGCTTCTCCCTGGACACGGTTGAAACAGGAAGGAAGCCCTAGGTATGTGTGTTCTTGGCACAATACCCCAATACCTCTCAGGACCCTGCCCCAACATGTCCCAGTGTTTCCAAAAAACCACCAGCTGCTGACCACAGCTGTGTATCCAGCTTGCATCCCGGGGGCCGTAAGGCATATGCTCAGGGCAGGTCCCTTCAGAGGACTTCAGGGTCAGGTTCAACCACTGCCTGGAGGTGGTGGCTCATACCTCTTAAATTCCAGGTACCCAAACAGTGAGGGTTTCCAGCCATCAGCAGCTTCCTTACTGTGGAATGCCTGCAATTCCACGGTAGAGGAAGGAGGGGGAGCCCCGCAGCGTGAGGGATGTGCTGACTACAAACTCCAGCTTATTTTAGGAGGCCCTTGACGGGGACCTGCCATGTGTGGTCGCGGCAAACTGCCAGTCAGCAGATTGAGGCTGGGGAGCCACTGAATGCCGCAGCCAGCCATGATGAATAATAGCAGCAGAGGATTCAGCTCTTCCCACCCACATTTTAGGCCTAATATTTGTTTCCCCGACGTTCTTTGCATGGAAATCGATGCATGCAGGGCACTCTCAAGTATCATGTGGTCCTGATACATTCATCGGGCACCTGCTTGGCTAAATGGGAAGGCCCAAGATCAATTTCCGCACTTTCTGTTTTCATTAAGATCCATATTTAGATTTTAGCGGATATTCAGCTATTCAATTTAATAGGAATTTGCTACCCAGCACCTAGCCGATACTCACAAAGCCAATATGAGCAGAAGCTCTTCTTTGTCTCGCTTGAGCAGTTGGTTCTTAGGGATTTGTGAGCTGAGCTGGGCTCAGCCTTCAAAATAATTATGAAATTAACAATGAGCCCTCGAGACAAGATGGTTCAAAGGGTGCAGAATCCCAAAGCTTCTCTAAATAGCAGTTTGCAGAGAAAAATAAAAATGTTTCTGGGGCCTAAAGATGTTTGGTGATCTGAATTCCTGTTCATATGCATTCTGCAGAGTGAAGATAGAACTTTTGTGATCTTAGATTCGTTTTTGTCCCCGTTTATCATAAGTCGTGCTCTGAATGCATGTGTTTGTTTAGACAAATGCACAAGCTCATTTGAGAGTGTGATGCTCCCTGAATTAAAGCCCTGAATTAATGCCTCTCTTGTGGTTTCTCTCCGCAGTGCTGCACACGCAGGGCCCTGTAGATGGCAGCCTTTACGCCAAAGTGAGGAAGAAGAGCTCCTCCGATCTTGGCATCCCAGGTGGCTCCCAGGTCATCCCGGCCACCAGTAGCCCGGACCACGGTGACCATACCCTGTCTGTTAGCAGCGACTCAGGCCATTCCACAGCCTCAGTCAGGACCGATAAGACCGAAGAGCGCCTGGCTCCGGGAACCAAGAGGGGCCTGAGTGCCCAGGAGAAGGCTGAACTGGACCAGCTGCTCAGTGGCTTTGGCCTGGAAGACCCTGGAAGCCCCCTCAAGGAGATGACTGATGCTCGCAGCAAGTACAGTGGGACACGCCACGTGGTGCCAGCCCAGGTCCATGTGAATGGAGATGCCGCTCTGAAGGACCGGGAGACAGACATTCTGGATGACGAGATGCCCCACCATGACCTGCATAGTGTGGACAGCCTTGGGACCCTGTCCTCTTCAGAAGGGCCACAGTCAGCCCACCTGGGCCCCTTCACCTGTCATAAGAGCAGCCAGAACTCACTCTTGTCTGACGGTTTTGGCAGCAACGTTGGTGAAGATCCGCAAGGTACCCTCGCGCCAGACCTGGGCCTCAGCGTGGACCCTCTCTATGAGCGGGAGCGGACTTTTGGGAGCCGAGAGCCTAAACAGCCCTCACCCTTGCTGAGGAAGCCCTCTGTGTCCGCCCAAACACAGGTCTTTGGGCAGAGCAGCTACTCCACGCAGACCTGGGTGCGCCAGCAGCAGATGGTGGTGGCTCATGAGTACAATTTCACCCCTGACGGGGAGGCCAGGCTCATCAGCCGTGGCCCCACAGATAGTCCTGGTCTCATCCAGGCCCAGCCCAGAATCCCAGTCACCCCCGCCCGCGGGGCCAGCAGCAGAGTGGCCGTCCAGAGGGGTGTTGGCAGTGGGCCGCATCCCCCTAGCACACAGCAACCCTCGCCTGGCAAAGCGTTCAAGCACAGGTTTCCAGAGGACCCAGTCGTGAACGGAGCTGGCCTGGAGCTGGGCACAGGCCCCTCCCCGGGCTCACCCACCCTGGACATCGACCAGTCCATCGAGCAGCTCAACAGGCTGATCCTGGAGCTGGACCCCACCTTCGAGCCCATCCCCACCCACATGAGCACTCTGGGCAGCCAGCCCAATGGCTCGGCCTCTCTGGACGGCATGGGTGGCGGGCTCCGGGCGAGCAGCCGGCTGCCCGATGCGGGAGAGGGTCCCGGCAAGGTTCCCAGGCGGCAAGGTAAGCTGGTGCTCCTTGAGTGCTGATCTGTGATGAGAAATGAGCCTAGTAGGAGGTTAGCGCTTGTGAAATCCCCAAGGGAGGGACGTTTCCCTTGCAGTTTCTACTCATGAATTTTGACCTAGGATCAAAGCTACCATGGGCCCTGGTAGCAGATTTGGAGGGTAGGAAGGACAAATTTAAAGCCTATGCAGGGGCAGGGATTGGGCCCAGTCCACTGGAATGGGGGGCTGGCTTTGCCTTTGTTTCACACACTTGTTAGTGTCTGTCTAGGGTGCAGCAAGCCAGTCAAGATCGTGGCTTGGAAGCCAGATCGCCTGGTGTGGCTTCCTCTCTGCCACCTATTAACTGCCATTCCGGGCCAGGTCCTTAACTTCACTGAGTCTCAGTTTCCACATCTGCTGAATGGTCTTAACAGTGAAACTTTTCTCACTTCAAGAATGGTCATGGATGAACAAAGGAGGCGTACTTGCCTCTCCCCACATGGTACAGGTCAGGGCTTTATGGAAGCATGTAAGACACATCAGTCAGTCTGAAGACTGGAGAGTGAAGGGCACACCTGGGCCCTGAGACAGCCTTGTGACTCAGGGAAGTGATTAAGCAAGCACAGTATACAAAATGTCCTGATTACAAACACACATTTATGCGTTGGCTGTGCATGGTGTGGGGAGACTGTGGAAGGCTACGACTGAGGCAGAGGCTGGGTCAGGAATCAATGAGGGGTGTCTGCCGTGGAGAGCAGCTCAGTGACTAGCGGGGCTTGGAGAAGCAGGCTCAGGTGCGTGGGACTGAGACCCATGGCGGGCACCCAGAAGCCAGGCTTCTGGGCCCAGTGGCCCATACTTGGGGGTTCAAGGCCAGGTGCCAGGCCCACCTGTGTGCAACCCCTAAAGCAGGTGCCAGGCCCACCTGTGTGCAACCCCTAACTGCAGAGAGGCCAGGACTACACTGCACGTGTCATTCCTCCTTGGGGCAGGTGGTTCGAGGCCCAGGAAGAGCCAAGGTTGGTGGTATTTGACCTCTGCCTGAGTTCACAGCAGTGTTATCTTCACACTGCATCAGTGCAGTGGGGCATGCATTGGAATTGGTTTACCAGAACATGTTCTTCATGTTGGGAGGCCTGAAGGCTGAGGGGACCCAGAGAGATAGCCATGATTGGGTGGGCTGGGGGAGGCTTGGCAGGTAGAGAGGGGTGCTGGGACTTAGCAGGAGCGTTTCAGGCAGGGGCCCATGTGGGCCAGGGCCACAGGGAGAATGTATGGTCTAGAAACTCCTACATCTAGATGCCATGTTCCAGGAGAAGATAGCCAGGCAACAGCCTGGGGAAGGAACACATGCCCTGCAAGGCTTCAGGGCAGAGGGTGCTGGTGGCTGCCTACGTGACATTGGTGGGTAAGAGACAGAACTTCTGTGGATTTCTCTTCACTTCTTCTGTGAGAAGGAAATGTTCCCTGTGCCTGGCCAGGAGAAGGTGTGAGGAAGGTGTGTGGATGCCCGAGCAGATGGTGGCATTCCACCTCCCTGACCAACTCAGACTTTGTGTATCACTAACTAGGAGTTAGGAGTAGCACAGAGTCTCCCATGAGTTGATTTTAGACTCTACAATACAGCCATGTAATAACCACAACAACCATAACAGGTTGGAAAATTTAGATATATCCACACATTAATCAAATGTATTCAGGGAATTCTAAGTTTAAAAAAAAAAAGGTTTTCATGAGAACAAAACTATCTGCAGTATTACCCCTGACTTGCATCACCAACACTTCTTAAAAGAACTTACTTGGAAAAATTAAAAAGCAGACATGTTTGTTCCTGGCTTAAAATCTCTTGAGATCTGGAGGAGGCTGGAGGCATCTGAGTGTATGTGGGGAAAAATACTTTGCAGGTTAACATACAAGGGCCTGTTTAGGCTAAGTGTTTTCCGGTCGACTGAATGCCAACCCTAGTGATTGCTGGTTCTTGATGGAATTAAACAGTTGTAAAGCCTAGGATTTAGAAAGTCATGTCAGATCATCTGGCCTCACGTTGGCCATTTCTAAGTTACTTGATAGACTTATCACTTGAATGACTGGAATTCTGATTTTGACTTTAGATCCTCTTTTATTCCTTTCATTATAAACATAATTTAATGACAATTTTGAAGTGAAAAGACCTTCATACTTCAACAAGAGACCAGCTGCTTTCAGTGCACATTTGGTTGTTGATCACCTAATGTAAATTATCCGTTAATCCAGTCATGTTTGACTGATGTCTTGGGCCATTTGTCCAGTTTTTTCATACCATTTGGACTATAGAGATGCCAGGAGATTAGATAGAAGCAAATTAGATACTAGTCTTCCGAGACTTTTTTAAATTTTGGAAATGACCTTGTTGTAGGAATCCCATTACACATAAGCAACCATCCATAAAGCAGTGATTAATGGATACTGAAGGGTTAGTCACAGCACTGGGGACAGGACGGAGCAAGCTACTTCCTTCCTGGAAACTTGACTTCCCCTTCCAGCATGAACTTCCTGCTCTAGCTAAACGTCAAGCTGGGAGATGAGCACACCTGGAGCCTTGCACTACATTTAGTGTATAAAGGTTGGCCGGTCTGGAGGTGACCTCCAAACAACCTGCACAGCAGTCTTTGGGATGTGGCAAATCCCAGCAAAAGATCACTTATTTCTGTAGCTCTCAAGCGTTCCAGCTGTGCAGGGAAAGGAGCGTTTCTCCATCCCTGGCTGCTAGAGAGAACACGGGAACCCTTCTGATTTTAAAATTTATAGTTGAGTATTTGCATCTCTCAACTGGAAAAGGCTACATTGACAAGCAATAGAGAAAAAAAAAAAACACTAGATCTTAGCAGGGACGTGTGTCAGAGTGTGATAGTAACCAGCTGATTCTGAGTTTCTGGAACATCTTCAGATGTTGTGGGATGCTGAAAAGCCTACGCTTAGAAGGTGTATCCCAGGTCCCTTGGCTCATACCTATCCCTGGGCAGGCTGTGGGAGACAAGGGTCGCTCTCCACTTGTGACTCTTGGCTCCATGTGGTGAATAGGAAGGGACCCGGAGAGTCCACAAGGCTCATGACATGCCTAGAACAGGACCGTCACCTCACCCCACCACCCCAGAGGTACCATTCCCACATCTGTGTGCACGAGGCTCAGCCCCAGTGATAGTGTGGCAGTTTCTGACTGACTGGAGCCCACCCCGAGTCTCGCTCACATGGGAAAGCATGGACTGAACATTCCCAGAGCACCATGACTTCTTCATGAGCCCTTCCTCCCCGGCCTGCCTCCCACCTTGTCCTGGATGCGAACTGCTACAGGTTGTCTTAATTCTGGCTGCCGATGAAGGTTTGTCACAGAGGACCTCAGCATCCCGAAGTTACTAAAATCCTTCACTCTTAGCAGATTGTGTCCTTCATATGAGAAAGACCATTTGTGGTGTTAGGGCATTGAGAATAGCATTGCTCGTGCTCCTCCGGGGGATGGTTGCATGTCCTGCAGATTTCTGAAGCTTGGTGTCACACCAGCTCTGTGGGCAGCAGCACACCCACCACAGGTCTACTTATTTCTGAGATGGAAATTACATGTGAAGGCTGAGCATTTCCTGAGAAAGTCTCTTTTGCACCAGCATAATAATGGCTGAGCTGCTGCTACGGTGGTGATGATGGTGGAGATGGTGGTTATAATGATAATGATAGTATTGGTGATGCTACGGTGGTGATGATGGTGGAGATGGTGGTTATAATGATAATGATAGTATTGGTGATGGTGAGGATGGTGATGACGGTGGTGGTGGTCATGATGGTGCTGATAATAGTATGAGCTGCCCCTCTGAGTGCCTACACTGTTTTAGGCAACTCCCACCAGGTTGCAAAACAGAGCTCCTGTCTGTCTGACTCTGCATCCCATGGGTGTGCCCTATTCCACTAAACTCACCCTCTCCCACTAGCCAGAAAATCTCTCAAGGGCAGTGCTCACAACTTACTTATTTTGTTTGCTGGCATGTGGAAACAGCTTGATAAATATTTGTAAACAGAGAAGACTGAAACAGGCAGAAATGCAAACGATTCTCCCAGGATTCCAGTAGCTCTGTTGAGTGGGCTGAGGTGAGGTTTATGACTGGACAGTGTGGAGTACTGAGTGGGCACTAAGGTAAGATTTATGGCTGGAGTGTGTGGATCAGCCCTTCCTCACCCAAAGGCCCAGAGAGTGGCCATCCGGAGGCGAGGTATCAGAAGACTTTGGGGGGCTGAAACCTGGATGCTTTCTATGCTGGTGAGTGCAGTATTGTGTCTTCTTACAAAATGGGGTGAGGTGCAGGGAACTTGCTTGGCATTTTGCTTCCTCCGAGTGCCTGCCTTCCAGGGGACCGCTCCCTCACTCAGGTCTGACACCCTATGCCTGTGTTTCCTCCGGGAGCCCCTGGGCACTGCCGCTGTCCTCACTGCCTGTCCTCTGCTTTGCGTCTCCCAGCTTGGCTTCTGCCTGCACGTGGGTGGGTGTTTTGGATCACATCCTTTAAGTGGGGGGAGATTTCAACTGATGATATCCAAATAACAAAAGAAATGATTCAACCTGTGAAATTTATGATCCCACAGATGGCAAAGAGCCGGCTCTGTTTTTTCATACCTCCAGGGCTCTTTACTTCATGCTGTCAAAATATTCTGTTCGTGTTACATCAGTCTTAGCCCTACAACGACAGGAACCTGGCAGGCCCTGTTCTGCTTGCAGACTGCACTGTGGCATTCCTGCCAGGCATTTAATGTCCCTTCCAAACTGGACGTCTGCCTCATGAGTGCTAACCCACATCTGATAGCCTGTTTATACTGAAGAGAATTCAGAGCAGTGGAAAGTGTCAGCTTTTAATAATTGATGGTGGAAAGCCCAGTGATTTAAATTATGTGTTGAACCCCGACTGCAGGAGCCAAATGGGAAAACTGGAAGAGCGCTAAAGGGTTCAGAAAGCAGCTCATCCTGCAGGCTCTGTCTGTGTGGTAAGAGACTCA